TGAATAAAGAAAATAATTTAAAAAGCATTGGGTATTCTTTTGACTCTTACGAAACATTCAAAATTCAACGTGTGACACGTAATTGCATAATAGCAATTGAAAGAAGAAATTTGTGTCTTTTCATTGGAAAAAAAAAAAAAAAAAAAAAAAATTGTTTTAAAAGGGTTACGAAAGAGAGAAAATGAGTTTTGTAAATATCAACTCGACCACAATTCTTTTATATACAAAATTGTAATAAATTAGTAAGGATGTGTATAACGGGCAGCGTTCAAAACTTTGTTCCGGAGTTTGCCACCGGAAGAGGAGAATCTCACAGTTTCCTTCTGCGTGAGAGGATCCCAGGGTTGCAGGTGCAACCGGGATTCTCAAGAAAGTATATAAGCGTGGGCGTTCCAAATTTAGAACCAACTCGCCTTCTCTTGATCTTTCTCTCTCTCTCTTTCTCTCTTACTCTCTCTTACTCTTTCAGAAGAGAGAGGTTTTTGTGGTCAAGCGAAACGCTCCAGGGCCAAAAGCATCTCTTCCTCTCCTATGAGGGTTAATGAGAAGGTCACGACACTCGACCGAACTCCTTCCGTAATGACAGCTAACACGAATATTTATGGGAAATTACAACAACTCATGGGAACAAAAAATGAAAAATCAGATTATAACCTCAAAACAAAAACGAAATTATACAGAAAAGATTCCCATAATGTTAAAATGTTTCATATTTTCTTTGAACTAAAAGAAATTGCAAATTCTGAATTTTAATTTCACGGATAATGTCGAAATTTTGCCAGGGCCCAGATCGGGGCCGAAGTAGGCTGCCCTATTAAGGAATGAAACGCCGTGCCTGATGTGGCCCTGATTAGGAAATCCACATTTGGCCCTAACAAGGTGTGGTGTTTAATTCCCTACTAGGGCCCTGGTAGGGCAATTTCTACACGGGTAAGGATTGTTACCACAGAAAATTAAAAGGCATTAAAATAAGTGCAACTCTTATTATTTTAATCCAATTTTGCTTATTTTAATCCATTTTGGTATTAAAATAAGCAAAATTGGATTAAAATAATAAACGTTGCAGCTTATTTTAATGCCTTTTAATTTTCTCTGACCATAACTATCGAACTGTTGAGTTTTTTAACCTTGTTGCAACAAAGTTTTTGTTTTGAAATTTTAATAAAAAAAATGAAATTAATTTTGGTTAATTTTTAACTTGGTGTTAAAAAATTTTCTAAACTTCCATACCTATAATTAAAGATTTTTTTTTTCCTCAAGGACAGAATTTGTGTGAAGGAAAAAAACTACTTATTACTACTGGAAGAAAAATGGATATTCAAGGTCATCTGTCATATTAACATTGTGCAATTTGGTTTCGGTTGAAAAATCGCTCAGCAGCCTGAGGTTCCGGAAGGGACATCCTAAGCGAAGTTTTCTTTTAATCTTCTTCTGGCGCACCAGTTTTCAGGGACAAAGATGCAGTTTAGCGTAACAGATTATGATGGGATATTACCCCTGTAATAAAACCATAAACCACCTATATAATATCTTTTTCTTTTTTTCTCCTCTATAACGGTAAGGAACCTCTGAAAAATGCAAACCTTGGTGGGTGTCAACTCGAAAGAAATAATTACTCTACTAATTTCCTAGGTAACAGAGTTCATTCAGTTAAAGGCAAACATCATCACTCTCAGGAATTTTTCAGAAATATTTTAGAGGAAGAAAAAATTCTAACACTCTTGAGAAAAGGAATACAAAAAAGATATATATATAGTGAAAAATAGTTTGAAATTTTGGAAATTTTCTTTACTAATAATAAATTATTTTTTTTAACAGCATGAGAATAATTTTTTTCATAGCACCAGCTGCAAAAAAAAAAAAGTTTTGGCGGCATAATCGATCCACATCTTGTTTCCTAAGGGGTTATATGAATTTCAATTCCTAATCGGCGAATCGGACCTATGGTCAAAGAGGCTCTTTGCTTTGGGGGTTATTTTAAATTCAGAGGTACTGTGATGGAAAGACGAGGACTTTTTAAATAAAATCTCCAAACTTGAAGTGTATATGAAACGTTAAAAAAAAAAAATTTTTTGACTTGAGTCGAGAGAGACTTTATAATAATTATTATATTCGACTATCTGTGATCTCAACTTTTCACTTCATTTTCTCAACTCATTGTCAAACATCTGCTGTTTACTACTACCCTCTTTATTATATAATGCATAACAATGACGTGGATTTACAAAATTTTAAACACTATAAATTTTTTGCGATTTCGTTTAATCAATCTTAATATTGTTTGTTTAGATCAAAGAAAAGATTAGATTATTAAAAAAAATTCTTTGTCTCAAAAAAAATCGATTAGTTGGAACTTAAAAAAATATTGAAAAAATATATTTGGAGAATTATTTGATACCGTTTGAAATAAGAATTTTTTTTTTTTTTCTAACTAAATTCGTCATGTACTCATAGTGAAATAAATCATAAAAATCCGACACACAAGAAAGATGGCGAAGGTCTTCGAGGTTGAAACGATCCTAAAAGTAAAAGTTTTCCTTTGCAATGATCGTGGATCGTAAAATTTTATCCGTTTATTGCCGGCGTCATTATATTGCCTCTTGAGGGATATAGACTGCTGTAACTGATTTTGTGATTTGTCAACTAAACACAATGTCAAAGCTTATACTCTCTAGCAATTTTTATTATCCAGGTCCTTGCAAAATTATATTATTATTGCGATCTTCTATTTTTTTTTTATTGTTTTATAAGCGTTATATATATAAAAATATAAACGTGTAAGCGTGCCGAGCGCCAATCAGGAATATCTATATCTAAAAAAAAAATTTTCACCTCCAGTAAAAAAAAAAAGAATAAAAATTGTTTTATGATCTCTTGTTACATTTACAAAAAAAGAAGACAATTTGTAACATAAATTTTCGAAATTCTATTTTTCTTTTTAATCTAATTTTTTTTTATTGTTTACTGTTAAAGAGCGAATTTGAAACGATAGGAATGTTTAAAATTTATTTTTTAGAAAATTTTAATCCATTTTAGTTCGTATTTTTTTTTATTTAGAAATTAATATTATGCGCTACAATTGTTTTGTTATTATAGCGAGGATATGTATTGCTATATATATCGTTTAAAATACATAAAGGGTCTGGAAATTATCAAAGAATACGAATAAAAGAAATGCAAGCGTTTGAATTCTCATGGTGAACCCTATATATAGGTATGCACGGGGTACATTGGGTTGCATTGCGCACGCCAGCCACACTTATGACGTGTGTACACCTATGCACTCACACGCTTCTTTGACCCTATACTGTCTCTCTCTCTCTCTCTCTGCATACATTCTCATTTGTTCCATTCTTTCAACGCTCAACATTTGTTTAAAAATTTATTTTTTAATTTTACAAAATTTCCTCATTAGTAATTTTTTCAAACTACCTAACATAAAATATTTAATGCCCTGATATTTCGAAAAAAATAATCGAATTTTCTACACTGAAAAAAAAAATATTCAATTCAAGTAACAATTTCCTTGACTATTATCAAATAATTATTTTTTTGTATCAAATAATTTCTGTATTTAAAAGAAATAAAATTAAATTGATTCAAATAAAAATTATTTGGCTCAAGAAAATATTTATTTGATAATAGTCAAACAATTATTTGATTCAAATAATTTTTTTTAGTTATTCTATTATTATTTTTTTTATTATTATTATTATTTGAGCCAATTAAATGGTATTTGTTTCAAATACAGAAATTATTGACTCAAATAAAAATTTTGTTCAAGTAAATATTTATTTGATAATAGTCAAGTAACTGATTATTTGAATTTTTTTTTTCAGTACCGAGTTTCAATTAATAACCGTAATTAGTAAAAAAAAAAAAAAAAAATATGTGCCCTTATGAAAATTCCTTATAAGAAAATAATGTTAAAGCTGAAATGTTTTCAGTATAATGTTTTTTTGTATAATATTTTCGCGATTATAGGTAATTTTTTAATAAGAAATTAATTATAAAATTTTTTTTCTCAAATAATTATAAAAATATAATTATCAGAAACTCTGTAATGAAATCATTACAATTTTATAATTATGAAAATGTAATTATAGAAAATAAAATTTTTCACATGCAAAAATTAAAATATTATAAAATTAAAATTATAAAAATTTAATTACAGAAATTAATTAATTTTGTATTTTACTGATAACTATATATATAGTTTTGTAATTTTGTATTTTACTGATAACTATATATATATAGATAACTGTATAGTTATCAGTAAAATACAAAATTAATTAATTTCTGTAATTAAATTTTTATAATTTTAATTTTATAATATTTTAATTTTTGCATGTGAAAAATTTTATTTTCTATAATTACATTTTCATAATTATAAAATTGTAATGATTTCATTACAGAGTCTCTGATAATTATATTTTTATAATTATTTAAGAAAAAAAATTTTATAATGAATTTCTTATAATAAATTACCTATAATCGTGAAAATATTATACAAAAAACATTATACTGAAAACATTTCAGCTTTAAAATTATTTTCTTATAAGAAATTTTCGTAAAGGTCAAATTATAATATTGGAAAAAAATGAGTAATTTTAAAATAAATTTATTATTAATAATAAAATAATAATAATTAAAAAGGGTTTCCCCCGACTTTAAATTTTCATTTGGAAAAATGAAAATGACTAATTATAGTTCATTTCGTAACAGTTGATGATCGTTTTAGTCAAATGGGCTGATTTTTCCCACCAAATGTCAAATTTGGAGGACGGCCAATCGGAAGGTTTGTACAATATACGCGTATGTACATACGTCCCATGGAGACGAGTGGCGTGAATTCCCACACATCAACAGGTCTGATCCCTGATGGTCTCAGAAGGGACCCCCCTCTCTTTTTCTCTCCGTCTCTTAAAAGTACAGGACTCTCCCTCTCCTGGAGGATATGTCCCCCACCCCATCACCACGAACACGATGAGTGCATCGGCATGCGGTCACCGAATTTGAAAACGTCAAACAGTCACCCTTCAAGCTTTGCTCAGATATCCTCTACCTTCTCTTGAGGGGTTAACAATTTTTTGCAAATATTTTCCAATTTGATAAAGAAAATAATAACAAAAAAAAAATAATAATTTTTTTTTGCTAACAGTGTTAAATTTACAAGGAGATTTTTTAAATTGTGAAAAAAAAAATTGTGATTGTGATTTTAGTTTTGACAATAAGTTTTTTATTGTCATTAACGAAAATTTAAAAAGAACAGTGTCGTGCCTCATCGAACATTATTGTCGATGAAGTGTACGAAATTAAAGTGAATGTTACAATAATAAAAATAAATCCTGTGTTTGTGTGTGTGTTAATTTTTCCTCTAAATGGTGGATTACTTCAAGTACAAAATGTCTGCAAGTGACGAGGAATTTGAACAACAATCACAATCGGGAATGTCTAAGGCAGAATTAAGAAGGGTACGAAGAATTTTTGATATAAAAATTTTTTTTAATATTAACAAAAAAAAATATTGCCTATACTTTTAATTTTAACTATAGAATGCTAATTACAAAAATTGTTTAGTTTTTGTAAAAAAAAGGTATTAAATAAAAATTAGGTACGATTTTTTTTTGCAATATACCGTAATACAAAAAAAAACCTGAGTTGCAAAGGAATTATATTCTTAATGGATCGAATAAGAGAAAAGAAATAAAACGTAATTTGTAAAGACGTAATTTAAAAACGAGAGTGTAAGCAAATTTGTAGTCACGTGTGTATGTATTCACACGTGACTTTCTTCACTCGAGCAAAACACGCGGTATCAAGTTCAAGCTGCAGTATAAATGAAACTAAATTACATTAGCATTGTAGTAAAATGACTTCTCAATTAATTTCTTATATTAACTAAAACGAATTATTTATAATTATTTACAAATGACTCACCATTATTTGTTGACAAAGGACAATCTGTAACATAAAAATTTGAGCAATCAGTATCAAAATTCTAAAATAAGATCAAAAAATAAATATTATATAATTTTTCCCTTTTTTTTATTTTAATGTTATTTAATCATTATCAGGCTACATTTTGCTATCTCACTTAACCAGGTTTTACTGCACTAGAAAACAAAACAAAAACACAATTTTTCATATACAGTCCAACCTCGATAATTGAGAATCCAAGGGACCTGAAAATTCCTCTCACTTATAGAGGTTTCTTAGGCAAGTCTCAGTTACGAAGGTTCGACTGTAATTAACTAAGCTTACTGAAATTTTTTTTCATTATAAATAACAAAAAAATGTTTCATTTCTGTTTAGAGCAACAAGCCAATTATGGAAAAAAGAAGACGTGCCCGAATTAATCAATGTTTGGATGAATTAAAGAGTCTCATTCTTGAAGCAATGAAAAAAGACGTAAGTTAAAAATATATGAAATTTTTAATTTAAAATTTAGAATAATAATAAAATCGGCGGAAACAATTGATCAAAAATTGATTTAGGGAAAAAATAATCAATTTCTCAGATCAAAGGGGAAATTAAAATTTTTATGCCTATAATATTTTAATCGTATATATTATATATTTCATCGGGTTATCAAGAGTATACCCCCTCCCTATAGGGGGGGTCTCTCATCCTGTTTAATGGCATTTGTTTTTAGTTTCGGGGGAAGAGGGGGGGGGGGGTTTGGGCCAGGTTTTGTTTTAGTGTTTTAGATGCCTTGGCGTGGGAACGATCCGAATGAGGCCCGTTCATCGTATATATATATATACACATACACACACTCAAATACTTTTTACGAAATACTGTCCCACGCGAGTATACAATGGCACACTCGACCCGATGAAAAAAAAGGGTGCTAAAGAAATTTCAGGAGCATCCGATTTAAAGTCTTTTGTCAACTTTCTATTTCTTGACACAAATATTGATTCATATATTTTGAAATCAATTGATTTCCGGTACTATAAGATAAAAATTTACTTATTGCAATATTTTTTTTTATAACTAATTACTATATTACAAAGAAAGAAATAATAATATTAAAATATATAACAAATATAAAATAATTATAATAACTTTTAAAACGTTAGTTTCAATTTATAAAAATTTAAAAAAAAGTTAACGCATCTTTTTTCAAAAATATTCCCAGCGTCCGGTCAATTTTGCGAGATCCTGTATCGACATGTAACACTATCCAGGCAAGATTGATTTCTCAGACAGGCATAACGAGACAAGCGCGGCTCTCATAATTTGCTTTTTCATTCAGCATATACATATATATATATTTATAGGGTCGAGGGTATTAAAAAAATACTCTTTCACAATTTAGCGATGGCGATTTTACTAATCATTCTTTCAAAGAAAGCGTCGATTAAAATATAATTTTTGAAAATTATATTATTATTCTTTCAAAATAAAAAATAAATAGAACAACCGAAAAAGAAAATAAATTTCTTGTTATTTTCTCATGCTTATGAGATGGTCCGAGGTATAGAAACTTGTCAGTCTGTAAAAGTTTTTGTCACTCCTCTTTTTGTCACATTTTCGATTCTAACCGCACGAGAAAAAGAAAAGAGTCACTTCATAGTTCAAAATTTGTATAAATGGAGAGCTGAGAAGATTCCATAGCCTTCTTGGATGGACCACTTAAATTATTCGACTCCATTTTCAGATGACTTCCGCGACCTGCTGAGTTTCGTTGTCCATCTTTGCTTCTTTTTTTTACTTCTCTCTGTATACCATTATTTTCTCACCCTTGCCGGATCTCTCTCTCTCTCTCCCTCACTCTCAATCTTGAAAACGCCTCCCACATTCGTGGGAACTGGGAGCCTCAAAATAATTATTAAAAACTCATCTCAGATTACAGCCTCTTTTGTTGACCGTATCATCTTTAAAGATCCTCTCTTCGGATGCTGTGTGCGATCGACACAGAGGGATGGACCGCCTTTTATTCCCCCCCTGAGTTTCCAATAGCAGGTGCCTTGTGTATTCGATCTCCTTCGGAAAAAGGGTGTCGAGCAACCTTTTTTTTTTTTATTATTGTCCTAGGCGTGAGATATTATGAATGATCTGATCATGGGGTTTTTCTAAATTAAGTAATTACTCCTCGTTAATTATCAAGAAAAGATAAATCAATTTGAAAATTTTTTTTTCTCCTCTTTAAAGGTGAAAAATGTTATGATTTTGAAATCTCACTGAAAAAATATCAAGTTTTAGAAATTGTAGAATTATTATATTCTAAAAAAAAGTTTTATTAACTTTTTAATAAACAATTTCTTTTGTTTTTGATTCAATTTCACAAAACGAAACAAAAAAAAAAAAAGAAAGTTTTGAAAGAAAAGTCGATATATAGATTACTGACAATATCACGTCTTGAATGGGATTCCCACGGAAAAGCAACTCTTTTATGATAAAAAGCTATATATATATATGTAACCGAGCCATGCGTCGACTCCCACGCTTCATTGTCAAGGTAGCTGTGAGTTTAACACACACACACGAGCATAAAAATGCGAATGCTAAGCTCTTGGAGGATACAAATCTCGAGAATAGTTTGGACACAATGGGATCTTGGGATGCTGAATCACTATTGAGAGTTATTGGTGGTTAAAGGGCTATAAGGGTTTCTTTTTTTTTTTTTTCGGAATCCCACCTGAATTTTTCAAAACAGACCAGTTTTTCTCCGAGAATACGAAAAACGGATTCTAAAACATCATGGGTCCGATACACATATAACGGGTTTCCAATTCCCACGCGACGAAACTTTATTTCAATTAGGTCGAGCGGTTCCTTTCAAATTCGATTTCTTTTCTATTCTCATATTCTTGCGTCATATATAGTAGGCATGTCAAATTTGAAATTTACACAAATTTCAATATATTCCATTAATTTTGAAATGATTTCCTGGAAAATATTTCCGATTATATTATGTAAATGTAATTTAATTGCAAATTTTGTTTTTTTAATGCTCAAGGTAGTATCTAATAGTAATAAATTTTTTTAAGTTTTTATTTCAAATATTTTTGAAATGTTTGGCAAAATTTAAAAATTTATTCTTTTTGTCGTTCACCTGTTCAACCACCTTGTATACATTGTATGAAGTGACCTCTGGAGTAGGTAAACGGTAAACTAACTTTCGTTATCATCGGTGGGTAACCAAACCGTTGGTAACTGTACCGACCAAAGGTAACAAGATCTCTTACCTTGCGAATCTAGTTTAGTTTCCAACCCACATTATTTCAAAAATTCAAAAATATTTACTTTTTACAAATATCTTAATCGATTATTAATTTAGTTTTCGAAACAAAAAAAAAGCATCACCCTTTCTCGAATTTAAAATAACAATTAATAAAATTATAAATATAATATTTAACATTGTTTTAAATGATTAATTTTCTTTTTTTTTTGTTTTACAGCCAACAAGACACTCAAAATTGGAGAAGGCTGACATTTTGGAAATGACAGTGAAACATTTGCAAACAGTTCAACGTCAACAATTAAGCACAGCTGTTGCCACTGATCCAGCAGTTCTCACAAAATTTCGTACAGGATTTTCCGAGTGTGCAACCGAGGTGTCACGATACGTGAGTCATTTGGAGAACGTCGAGCCAGCCGTCAAGCAACGTCTCGTCTCACATCTCAACAACTGTGTTAGCCACCTTCAACAAGTTGCTCCATTCTACAGTCATTACGTGCCATACATGCCAGAACGACTCTATCCCGAAGTTAAAGTTGGTTTTCAAACTGACTTTCAGAATGGTGACGAAAATAACAATGGCAGCGCAAGAATTCAAATTCCAAGTGGCGTTCAACTAATTCCAAGTCGTCTACCAACTGGTGAATTAGCTCTCTTGGTACCACAATCAGCAGGGATATCAGCAAATTTTCCCTTCTTTCCACCAGCGCCCGAAAGTGCTGCACGAATTGGTCCATCGTCAGCATTCACTGCTGTTCAAAGATCACACAGTCCACTATTGAGTCCATCGACATCAACATCAAGTTATGACGAGAGTCATAATTCCGAACAATATCCACACGCACAATCACCACACAATCATCATAATCATCAATTTAAAATACCCGAACAAAGTCCAGTATCTTCCAATAAAAGTTTCTCATCGCCGGAAACACAAAAACCACAAATTAGTTCAACGAGTGATCGAAAATCACCACCATCAACAATGAATATTTTTGTCGAACCCAAGAGCAATGACAATAATTGTTCCGCAACGCCCGCACGGGTCATCGGCTCCGAGTCATTCACACCGTCGAGTCATTCAACAGGTGAACTCATTAATGGGACGCAGCAAATTTTGAGGCAACCCTTGTCAGTTATTACCGAGAAAACATGTAATCGACCATCGCTCATGAAAAGGGAGAATTTAAAGCGACATCATTCCGATGGCCTTTTATCAATATCAGAAAAGAAATTAAGATTACAAGAGCCATCGAGTTCAGCGGCGGCTTCAACAAGTGCCACAAGTTTTCGACTTGATTCCAATGAACATACAACATCAGCTGAAGATCTATCGGGAAGAAATAATTTCGCGAGGGATCCAAGAAATACACGACATTTTGCTGGACCATCAAATGGTGATATGTGGAGACCATGGTGATCAAAGAATACAATTACGAATTTAATTTATAATATTTTTAAAAAGATCTATTTTTTTCCATTATAAAATATTTTCTTAATTTAACATCTTTAATTTTATAATGTAAACCTTTATTTTAAAATTGTTTTTAAAAAATTGTTTTTGTTAATTTTCTTTACAATCATTTTCCGAGTTATTTTTTCATTTAATGAAAGAGAAATCCTGAAGATTATTGAAAATATATTTGAAATACTTGTAATTAAAAAGTTATTTTATTTTCTTTCGTACAAAGGGAAATAGATTTTACAATATAGATTGTATTAGAAAAATATTTTCTTATTTAAACAAAGATTTATTCAATTTAAATAAATATTTAGTAAAAAAAATGCAATGGTAAATGTTACTGAACTGATTGTACTGATTATAATTTATATTATAAATGCAATTAAATGTATTTTATAAATAACAATCTATATTGTAAATTCCACCATACAGATTGTAATAATTCGAATCTATATTGTAAATTCTACCATACTGATTGTATTAATTCTAATCTATACTGTAAATTTTACCAAACGGATTGTATTAATTACAATGTATATTGTAAATTCTACCGTACCGATTGTATCAATTATAATCTGTATTGTAAATTCTACCATACGGAGTGTAATAATTAGAATCTGAATTGTAAATTTTACCATACTGATTGTATTAATTCTAATCTACACTGTAAATTTTACCATATGGATTGTATTAATTACAACCTATATTGTAAATTCCACCATACGGATTATATTAATTCTAATCTATACTGTAAATTTTACCAAACGGATTATATTAATTACAATGCATATTGTAAATTCTACCGTACGGATTGTATCAATTACAATCTGTATTGTAAATTCTACCATACGGAGTGTAACAATTAGAATCTATATTGTAAATTTTACCATACTGATTGTATTAATTCTAATCTACACTGTAAATTTTACCATATGGATTGTATTAATTACAACCTATATTGTAAATTCCACCATACGGATTATATTAATTCTAATCTATACTGTAAATTTTACCAAACGGATTATATTAATTACAATGCATATTGTAAATTCTACCGTACGGATTGTATCAATTACAATCTGTATTGTAAATTCTACCATACGGAGTGTAACAATTAGAATCTATATTGTAAATTTTACCATACTGCTTGTATTAATTCTAATCTACACTGTAAATTCTACCATATGGATTGTATTAATTACAACCTATATTGTAAATTCCACCATACGGATTGTTTTAATTCGAATCTATACTGTAAATTCTGCCATATGGAGTGTCTTAATTACTATCTATATTGTAAATTCCACTATACGGATTATATTAAATCGAATCTATATTGTAAATTCTACCAGACGAATTGTATCAACTACAATCAATACTACTAAATAGATTCTATTAATCACCGTCTATATTGTTAATAAAACAATAAATTTTTTCTCAATGTTTCAACTAATTGTCAATTTTAAATGATAAAAAATCTGTACCAATATACTTAATGGATACAAATATCAAAAGTCTCTTTTACAATTGTGAATAATTTTGTTTGCTCAATTGAAATTTTCGTTTTTAAATTAATATTAAAAATAAATTGTTAAAGTGCCTTTAATTAAAAATAACCGATAATTTCTTATGCGGAAAATGTACATGTCTCTTTACCTAAATTAGATTATAAAATATTTGTAAGGCAAAAAAAAAAATGTAGGGATTGCTTTAATATTTAAGAGTTCAGTGTGATATTTTTTCTATACATTTACGTTTTTTTCCAATATTATATTTTTTATAATAGTTTTTCTTCTGATATTCTACGATTTATTTTCCCAAAGTGTAAAAAAAACATCTCAACGAGATAATCCTTGTAAATAACACTTGTAAATAGAAATACATTTGCGTACCTTAATTTAAAGTTTTACTTTAAAAACAAAAAAAAACTAGTGAGGTCAGTATTGTCAAACAGTTTTACAAGTTTGTGATAAACAATGTATTAAATTAAAAATACATGAATTCAGTTTCTTAAAAAACAAATAAAAATTGTCCTTATTTTCATTCACCATTTTTAAAATAAGAGCAAATATTTTTTTTTCAAATTTTTCTTAAACTAAAAACTTAAAATTTTTTTTTTTAGAGAAACTATTATTTACACAACTTTTTCAAAAGATTTTGTTTAAAGCTTATTTAAAATTAATTAACTCTTAAATTACTGATAAAATTAACGCAGCTAATTAATAACTAATTAATCGCTCAATTAATTGAACTAATTATTATTTGTGTGTAATTAAAAAAATAAATTGAGATTATTTTTTTTTTTTAATATATTAAAAATAAGAGAAAAACAATTTTTCATATTGATCAAGTAAAAAGAGTTCATTTTAATCCTGATGTTGCAGCGGCGAAGAGAAAAGTAAGAGCATCGTACGGTGAGATGTTTTATCCTTTTAAGAGGCATTTAACGCGCCCGAGTTCATAAGCTGGAGATAGCTCTCCTCGTTTTTGCCGATAATAAAGGAATAAAAAAGTGAGGACGAAGAGAGTGAGCAATTCAACCACCTGTTAGAACCACAAAACCACCGTCGTGCTCATCGACCGAGCACGAGAACTGATTTATCGACTGAGTTTCACTCCTACTACCCACTTTAGTAAATTTCAAATTTTCTTACATACAAATCGAATAATACACACACACACAAGCGAAAATTTTTTCTTTTTTATCTATTTAAAAAAATCAATAGATTATTTTAGAAACATAATTTGAAGGAAATTTTTAAGGAAAAATAATAAATTTATAAATTTTTGGTAAATAAAAAAAAAAGTATGGAAAATAAAGTTAAAAAAAAATAGTAAAGAAAAATTCAAACAAATAAAATTAGTTTAACAATTATGTTTCGAAAATTATATTAAAATTTTTACAATTTGGTAAATAAAATAAATTTGGTAAAGTTAATAAAAAGGAACAAATTCTCTAAAAAGAAAAAAAAATCGAAACGCTATCTAATGGAATTGGTTCGAACTTGTTCGAATCGTAACTTTGGGATTTTGCTCAGAGATGGAGACTCTAATTCACAGGACATAAATAAGGACCTCCACGCCGGGAATAAGATTCACGCGCGTGTTTTATTTTACTATATAACTACAATCAACTATTATCTTATAAAATAACAAAAAAAAAAAAAGAAGAAAAAAATACATTTATTTACAGGACGCTAATGAAGTTGATATTTTCTTTGATTCGAATTATTGCATATATAATTGAAGTCTCATTGGGTAGTCGAATCATTAACCGGTTTTCACTAACAGTGTATGGTATATATATATGTGTATATAGTTTCGAAATCGAAATGGCGAAAGGATGCAGTAAATCAAAAATATATATATAGAAGCCTGGAGTTATAAAGAATAACTTTAAGTAAAGCATTTGTCACGAAAGTGTATTAGAATTGGATAATTATAAAATTATGCCTCGGGGATTCCGTAAGCGGAACGGCAAAAGAAATGATGATGCGATTTGTCTGGGTGATATTTTTTTTTACGAATTTTCAACAAATATTTCAACTTCAGCTTCCGTTTCTTATTTATTTATTTTGAATATGTAAATCCAATTATTATTAAAATGGCATGTATTTCATTTATGAATTTGAATCCTTTAATATATATGATCGTTGCACACATTATATTTTATATGCAGCAGTAATGTTAACTTGTTTATATATTTAATATTTAATAAACTAAAAGCGGTATATATATATTTTATAAACGATGCGAAAGAAAATACTTTCTTGCGAGTGTGAATTATGTTTTATCAAAAATTCGAATAAATAAAAATTCTATTACATTTTAAGAATTTTTATACGTCAAATTATATCAAAATGGAAATTAGATAAAAGAAAAATTAGTTTTACCTAATTTAAAGTTACAAATAACCAAAACGGGAGAAAAGAAAGAAAGTTTCGAACAGCTTTTTTTTGGAGATATTGAAATTTTTTGTGTTTAAAAATAATGCAACTGAAATGAATAAACAATAGATCGTATTTTGAATTTAAAAGACTGATTCAAAGCGGCGCCTCCAAGACACCTGAGAGGTGCGAGATAAAATCGAGATAGAAATCTTTTGCGTTACTCCCCTTTTCGATAGAAGTGCATTATAGCTTCACAGCAGGAATACTCTCCCCCTCTTTCTCTCTCCCTCTCTCTCTCTCGTCGCAAGCGAAACCCTTCGTATAGTATCTAAAGGTATATAAATAATTACACTGGATGGTAGCAATTACTATAAGTTATGGCGGAGCCGGCACAATTTGCAATGTCAAGACATAAACACTGCTACCGCTTACATTTGAATATATTAAAGTGTTGGTGAGCTCTGATTGGCCAATGGATAGTGAGGGCACCTATACGATCTCTGCCACAAGATTTTTATTGAGGAAACTATCCTCAACACAAGTTTATACAAGAATTCACAAAGTCCTGATTAAATAAACCGATGTTTGTTTATATATATATATATATATATATATAGCAAAATCGCTACAGAAATCATTCCCGGAATTGATTCACGATTTTAAATTGATTCATTTTGACTGAGATTTATGAGTTTTTCTATATATATATATATGTACGATAACAGGACGAATAAGATTTCTATTGTCATATGACAATCTCTCTTTGTAATATAGTGAGTGCTTTTATATGGCCCAAGTAATTTCAGATCTTTGCACCTGATTTGGTAAAATTGAAATTGGAAATGAATCACGAAAGGGCGAAAAGAGAAGTTGGACGGAAATTTAAGGCCTTTGAATTTTTTAACGATAGGTTATTGACATTCTTTCTTTGCCGAAGGGTCCAACGACATTTGTCCAATTAAACGACATCGAATCTATATAAGCGTTCCATTCGATATGCGATTTATAAGCATATCAAAATTGACAAGCGAAACATAAGATAATTAACTGAATTATATAATTAAATAGAATAATAATAATAATAATAATAATAATTTATAATGAAATACAATTAAAATCCTACGTGTGAATAAGTTATTTTTTCCTTTTGTTTTAAGTGTCATTTTTTTTGTCAATTTATAAAAAATTAAAAGGTGAAAATTTATTATAAATATATCGCGTGTATAACTTTAATGAAAATACTAAAAGAGCAATATCACTTTTAGTCATTATTTTCGTGGCAATTTCGAACGAACGTATATATATATATATAATCTGATACCACGTTCATTCACACAATCATCAATACTCGGACGATAACTCAATTGATGATGAATTTTTTGTTGTTGAAAAATTGACGGAAAAATATGAAAAATTAAGACAAAAGGACAAATTTTATATTACATTTATATTTAGATTTTATTTCTTATTAATTTTATTTTATTAATTTTGTTATTAATTAATTAAAAAATTAATAAGTAGTAAAATTTCACAGAAAATTAAAAGGCATTAAAATAAGCTGCAACGCTTATTATTTTAATCCATTTTGGTATTAAAATAAGCAAAATTGGATTAAAATAATAAGCGTTGCAGCTTATTTTAATGCCTTTTAATTTTCTGTGTTAATTTCAGAAAATGATTCCGGAGATCGATTAAATAACTTTTCCAAATTTCCAGATTCTATCAAACAAATGGATTGTTAAACCCTAAAAATTTTCATAGTTTATTCCCTCTATTTCTATACTAATAAAGTTTCTATTTTTCTACTTCTATATACATATACTACCACTTTTAACTTTTTACTGTCTTTTCTTATTCCTGATTTTATAATTCCTAATTCTAATTTTTTCTTTTAGTTTTTACTTCCTAACTCAAATATCTGTGAAAATTATAAAAAAAGGAAGAAGAAAATGTAATATAAGGAATTGCACTTAGGAAATAGGAAGTGTATTGAAATCACAGAAAATTCAAAGGCATTAAAATAAGCTGCAACGCTTATTATTTTAATCCAATTTTGCTTATTTTAATCCATTTTGGTATTAAAATAAGCAAAATTGGATTAAAATAAGAAGCGTTGCAGCTTATTTTAATGCCTTTTAATTTTCTGTGATTCTATTTTGAAATAGAAAGTGATAAATATGAAGCAAGTTAAGAATCGACTAAATAAAATGCAAAAAAATTTTGGAAATTAGGAATAATAAAAAGTATACAATAATTGTAAAAGATATAAGAAATGGAATTAGGAAAAATGAAGCAAAGATTAAAAAACAGGAACCAGAGGTTTTAGAAATAGAAAGTACCTAAACGTGAACATCGTAAAATAACGCAAGATAACTGATACTGTAAGATGAATTTTTTTTTTTTTGATGCTCGTAAACAATAGCAACTTTGCAAAAATCTAATTCGACACGATAGACAAAATTCATGTAAAGGACCAAGAGAGTTGTTCGACCAATGGGCGTGGACAAACGAGCGGAAAAATGGCGGGGTTTGGAAATGAGATTTGCTGGTAAACCGACAATTTATCGTAGGTATCTGTGAGCACATCTCTTGACGTTCCTCTGACCAGAGATATAATTAATATATGCTCTCGTCACAGAGTGCTCGACCAATATTCCCCACGCGTACTTGCGAGTACACATACACAAATAGAGGGAGAGACGCAACATATATATATATATATAGTCAACTGGTTTTCGGGAGTGGAATTCTACACATACACGTACAAACGATACACGTGACCAGTCGCTGATTAAGTTTGAATGACTGACGCCGCAAAAACACATTAAAACTTGAATGAGTACAGATGAAAATTTGGTTGCTGGGAATCAAGAGACCGCAAAGCAAATGGTCTGGTAGCCGCACACGTTTCGACTCCCCTTTCTTTCACTCTCTCCCTCTCTCTCTCTCTCTCTCTCTCTGATGATCGGATGCCCATCAAAATATTGCAACACGAAAAACATTCTTCTATTGACTAAGCGACTAGATATCGGCACTGACACACCGGACCAACCGCAACAGAAATATCATGTAATCAACGTTTTAAGGTCTTTCAACTCAATTTCTGCGTCG